GAGTGAGAGAGAGAGAGAGAGAGAGAGAGAGAGATGAGAGAGAGAGAGAGACGAGAGAGAGAGCAGAGAGAGGAGAGAGAGAGAGAGAGAGAGAGAAAGAGAGGAGAGAGAGAAAGAGAGAGAGAGAGAGAGAGAGAGAGAGAGAGACGAGAGAGAGAGAGAGAGAAAGAGAAGAGACGAGTGGAGAGAGAGAGAGAGAGAGACGGAAGGAGAGAGAGAAGGAGAGAGGAGGGAGAGGAGAGAGAGGAGAAGAAGTGATGGGAGAGAGAGTGAGGAGTGAGTGAGTGAGTGAGTGAGTGAGTGAGTGAGTGAGTGAGTGAGTGAGTGAGTGAGTGAGTGAGAGAGAGAGAGAGAGAGAGAGAAAGAGAGGAGAGAGAGAGAGAGATGAGAGAGAGAGAGAGAGAGAGAGAGAGAGAGAGAGAGAGAGAGAGACGAGAGAGAGAGAGAGAGAGAGAGAGAGGAAGAGAGAGAGAGAGAGAGAGAGAGAGAGGGAGGAGGGAGGGAGAGAGGTCGGAATATCTAGCTAAACCTGGCGTCGCTTAGTTCGCGTTGACGTACAATTAATTATGTTGCGTGCGTGTGCCTGCGTGAAGATGGGTGTGACATGTAGATATTGTTCGTCATAAGTTGAGGGTGTGAGCATATGTGAAAGAAAATAGTGCTTTTGGAGTATGTGTGTAACCATACATATATTTGCTGTAAATCATAGACACATATATCCTGTAATCACTCTACATAATATATGTTCAGTACATTTTGCATTATATATAACCTACAGTGACATTATGCCTCAAAGCATCTATGATAAAAAACACCCTTGTAATTACTTTTTTTAGAAACGCTAATGCCTCTAAACAGAAAGAAATCGGAAATATCCATACAGAATAAGATCAGGTACACTTATTCCATGTAACGTTGCAAGTGCACCTCCTGAAAGTCCTGTAACTAAGGGGATCAGACCGAAGAATTTTGCTGCATTGTAAATTTCGCGATGTGAAATTAGTTACTTAATACCAAAGAATGACGATTGATATTAATTTATTTTTAGGAAACGGATAAGAAAATTGTTGTGTTTTTCACTCGCGATATAATATTACCTTCGATATGTATCTCGTTTCATATATAGAGAATTAAATGTAGGCCTTCTTTGTCTATGATATGAGCTCCGAAGTCTAAGCGACCGGAATTACCAACCATCAGGTAATGAGAAATAACTTGACTCGGTCTATACGAGTCGGGTATAACATGAAAGTAACTAATTTTGGATATTATATATTTGGATTAGTTTGAGGTTACCAAATAGTTACTAAAAACATACAGCTTTGTTATCTACTTGCTACTTTCCTCTAATCACATAAAAGTGCGGTTGGCAGCCATGTGAGCCCAAACAGCTGATCCTCCGTGTCTGAGCAATGGCATCGGGGAGAAGAGGAGGCTCAGCGAACATGTGAGAAAATAAGGTATTTATCCTTTCTGCGGTGCATGTTGGGAAGTCTCAGACAGCGTGTTAGAAGAACAGTCAACAGAACGTATCTCGAGTCGTGCTGAGAAGAAAGGATGAGTCGCAATGAGGAGGAAGTAAGGTCATTTATGCAGCTCGCCGTGAAGCTCTGGGGGAGGTCGCAGGGTTCATGGTTTGGAGCTCGGCCACAGACTTGTTTACCGCAGTGGCAGTCACGAGGGCTCTGGTATGGTCTTAACACTACCTCTGGGAGGCATTAACAAGAAGGAAAAACTACACACTGATCGTACTTATGACACATCTTTATTCATCGAGTAAGGCAGGCAAGCGGGAAGTTCTCCGTGGGATAACGAGACAACCCCCATGATACAAGTACGGATTATTAGAGCAAGATTATGCAGTCTGAAATGTATTTTTTGTATAATGAACTACTGAACTAAATGTATATAATTATACCTGTGTTTAAGAGCAGACCTATAAATCATTAGAGGAAAATTGGGTTGCTGATATCACGGTAATCTTCATTAAAGTGTAAGCTTTTGGTTAAAATGTCTTGACTGATTATGTAGCTTTACACTCCCTTGTAAAGGCCAGCAAACAGCTGCCATGTAGTTCTAATGATGTAGAACTTGGTGTGGTTATTTATTTGATAATTATTATGTTGTTCTGTGAGCTAGTATTTTAGTATTTGTTTCCTCTTCTGTAACAATCAGGCCTACAGGATAAACAGATTATGAAAATGATAGTTATGAAATCCAAGACATTATACAGCCTTAACATCATTGCATATTGAAAATAAGAAATTATTACAGAAATATCAGACTTAAGGCAGCTTCTTTCTTTGCAGATACACAGATGTTTAGTTTATCTGTAGACAAAAGCCTAACAAAATAATCCTTCAGTTTCACAGTAATGCCTTTGATGAAAAGCATGTACTCAGCATATAGAATCTGTCAATTTTGTATACCTATGATGGCATTGGGAGACAAAGATGCACAATTGCTGTGGCCTCTAAAGCTTTGGAACTCTATCACAGGC